GAGGCAGTTACACAGTGCTTACAACTGTCTCTGGAAGTGAAACCACCAGAAAATAAATTAAGTCATACGCAGCTGTCATTCGTATGCAAGGAAGTAAGCACAAGATGCCGAACACCCTTAGCAGGATGCAGCTCACCCTTCATGCGACTCGCCGAATACCTCACGGCGCTTCGCGCTTGGTGATGTGAGAGCCTGGTCCGGTGAGAACCCGGCGTGCTCCGTCCCGGCTTTGTAGGGATGCGAGGTCAATGGTCTAACGACTACGGCATGCACGACTATGAGTACACCCCCCCACCCCCCCCCACCTCCCCCACCCACGCCGACACTACCAACACAAACAAATCACCTGGCTTGGTTCCTTGCCCTGCATGAGCTTGATGAACTTCTTGTCCTTAATACGCATCTCTACCAGTTCCATATCGTAAGGGAGGGGGATGGGCTTCAGCTCCGCGCCGTCCTCTTGAGCCTTGGCCATCGCCTCCTGCAATTTTTCGTGCACCCAGCCGGGTGTGAAGACGGGTGTGTGCGTGAACCCGGGGGGAGAAAAAACGCCAAGTTCGGCTACGTGTGTCTGAACTTGACCTAGCGGCGGAGGGTTCCAGCAGAGACACGAAGCCTCAAACTTGCCACTGCTCACCTGCCACCACAAAACTTTCTCCAAGAAATCGGGGAAAAACTCGGGCGCACCGTGACAAAAAAATCGTGGACGCCCCCGTGACTGGACACTTGTAAACACAAGGGCTGAAAAAAAGAAAGAAGACACGAAAAAGGCACAAGCCCGCCTATTTAGCCTGCTCGACGAACGCGCAAAGCATCCCACATACATGGTCCCCCTTTCTTTAAAAATTACGACAACAAATCAACTTACGAAAGCTAAACACAGCATGCATACATGTTGTGGTGGACAAGACGAACCTCGCACGAAAAGCAAAAAAGAAGAAGAAGCGATTTTAAGTCGCACCAGACGCTGCCGAAGGGTCCAAGCACTTCCATCTCCAACAACAAAAAAAAAGAAGCGATTTTGATCGTACCACGACGCTGCCGAAAGGTCCGAGCACTTCCATCTCCACGCCCACTTCGGCCGTCCAGACCCACTGGTTCGCGTCCTCGTTGTAGATCGACTGCTCGTCAAGTCGGACACAGTTAGTTGCGGCCCGCGTTTAAGAAACGTCAATTTGGGGTCGAGGCTCGATTTGTTATTTCGTCACCGCCTTCGACAATAAACGTACAATAGTCTACTACTGCTGTATCATTTATACGTAGGATCCACGGCCGAGGTAGGTGTGTGTTTCTTAGTCGAATTTTCTCAATACATCGCCGAAGTCTGAGCCATTTATGTTTCTGAAAGGTGTAATTCCTTAATCGCGGGCGCTACAACCTGTGGTCGTATCAGATAGGTTTTACGACAGACAGCAGGTATTATTACGCGTCCTTAAAAGCGGATAAGACGACTTGCTTACGATAAGCCCAACACCACGAGCGACGACGACGGCGACGACGCGCGCACGCACGCACGCAATTCATGCACGCTTGCCTTGACGAAGGCCCAAGACGTGCTCCTCTCGTTCAGCCGGACGCACAGGTCGGCGTACATGTCCACGAACGTCGGCTCGTCGAGCGCCTTGTCGAACACCGCCTGCACCAGGGTGCGCAGCATCTTGAGCGAGTCCATCGGAAGGTCCAGCAGCTGGTCCGCCAGCTTGTCGAACTGCTCGCAAGGCAACGGGGGTGGTTGGCAAGTAAGTCCAACGTCAAAGACGACGACGGAAGGGGGAGGGATGGAGAGGTCAGGGAGATGGGTAAGAAAGAGAGGGCTGAAGTAAAAATGGATCAACCGATGCGGGTCTCGTCATCGTAAGTCAAACGAGGGCGATGGAAGGGGGAGAGATCCAGAGGCAGAGAGATGGGTTCAAAGAATAAGAATGTGGGTCTCATTGTCACGGTGGCGCACACCAACGACGCGGAAGGGGACGGCCATCCAGCAGAAGAGACAAGGTTACCCAGGGAGATGGATGCATGAGAGAAAACAGGCTGGAAAAAAAAATCAACAAAGACGGGCCTCATATCATCAAATGGCAACAAGAGGGCGATAGACAGGGAGATGGACGAAGGAGAGGAAGGGGTGGAAAAAACAACAGAAAACGATGGGGGTCTCGTCATCGTCATCATACGGCGACAGGAGACAGGAGGGTGCTCGAACAACGGGGTGATGGCGGTCTATCTACGCCACCATACCGCTCGTCCCAGACAGCATGCACCACCGGGCCCTCCATACCACCCGAGCAAGCACCCCCCCCCCCCCCCCCCCCCCTCGCACAGCGCATCT